TGATGTCAAGTTGAAGGGGGAATGGTGTCAAATGAAGCCCTTGTGAGCATTTTGTTGTTTCACTATGCAATCAGTTGCTTCTTGCTCTGTCTCGTGAGGCGGGAATATGAATTTTTCCCCACGAAAACAAGCAGGTGGAATACTTCAGGCAAAATCCAGTTGGGTTTTGAAAATTACTTTGTTTAAGCAACCAGATGTACATAAGTTCTATTTTTATAGAGGAAATGCGAAGATAACTCTTGTGATGGCTGTACTGGAGCTGTAGAAAACCTTGAGTTCCTACCTTGGAATTTGGAACTGGACCAGTGATAACTCCCAGCGCCACCAGCGGGGCTGCTGAGTAGCGTGTGCCTCCTCCGAGGGGTGATCACACGCTGAAAACGCAGAGTTGCACGGCTCCTGACAGCATTGCTGCACCAGGTCCTTTGGTTGCAGTACCGTAGCGGGAAGGAAATGTATCCCTTCCTTTTTCTGCACATCAAACACCACCCCACCCCCCAACCCCCCCCATGCACACACAAAACACCAGGGTGCTTGGCGGTGAGGGGCTGCCTGGGGGGGAAACAGTCCATGTCCCTCGTGATCCTTTTGCAGCTCTTCCCTGGAGCTTGCTGCCTTTTCCTCAATTTTCTGCTTACCCTGCTCCGCACTGGTGGTTTCTTTGTAAGCTCACTCGCCAGCCAACTGAGTCTGCTCATACCTTTCTTTCCTTCCTCATGGGGGAACACACTGTTTTTTTTTTTTTTTTTACACTAATGAAGACTGCAGTGACGATGACTTTTAACCAAACATTTGGTTTCTTTCCCAGTAGAACTCCTCCTTAAAAACTCGGTGCTGTGCTCTCCCTTTGTCTTTCCTGAGGAGAAAGGAAGGCTCTGTATTTAAGTATGCAGAGAACAAATGGGGATTTAGTAATCAAATATTTTCATTTAAATTTCCACTTTCTGTGGAAAAGCCATTTTCTTGGCTTGTTAGAATTTCTCCGAGCCTGCTAGTACTTTTGCATCTGTTAATCTGAATTCCGGTGGGGTGTGAGGGCTGAACACGGACACTGCCCATCGCCTCGGCACAGGCTGTGCCAGTAGCGCTCCTGCTTGCCAGGGATGCCGAAATGACGGTGGCCGTTCAAGGCGTTCAACCTTCAGCCCTGCGTCAAGGACATTCAGAGATCATGCTTGATAAGGGTGCTTCATATGGCTGGTTATCGCTGTGCAATTGGGGGCCAAAAATGGTGCTGTGAGAAGCTCGTTGGGGACCTCCCCTGGCTTCTCTTCTCTGTGCTCATCCAGATCTGCCCAGGAGAACAGTCTGCTCCAGTCTCCCTCCACCCCAGCGGCCTCTAGGCTTCCCAACTGGCTTCCCAAAATAGAAGTAGCGCTCCTGCTTGCCAGGGATGCCGAAATGACGGTGGCCGTTCAAGGCGTTCGGCCTTCAGCCCTGCGTCAAGGACATTCAGAGATCATGCTTGATAAGGGTGCTTCATACGGCTGGTTATCGCTGTGCAATTGGGGGCCAAAAATGGTGCTGTGAGAAGCTCGTTGGGGACCTCCCCTGGCTTGTCTTCGCTGTACTCATCCAGATCTGCCCAGGAGAACTGGTCCTCTGTTCGCTGCTCCAGTCTCCCTCCGCCCCAGCAGTCCCCAGGCTTCCCAACTGGCTTCCCAAAACTCTTCTCTGTGCTCATCCAGATCTGCCCAGGAGAACAGTCTGCTCCAGTCTCCCTCCACCCCAGCGGCCTCTAGGCTTCCCAACTGGCTTCCCAAAATAGAAGGGAGCTTGTTAGGGCTGCCTGCTCACTGTGTGCTGAATGGCCAGGAGACTGTGCTCAGCCCTGCAGCAGGTCCATCGTTCTGGACTCAGCCTCGCGCTGAAGTCGCAGGTGGCTGCTGGAAAAATAAAGCCACAGATGTTTTCTGTTGGTTCTTCCCACTGACCTGGAGGGGCCGAAGTAAATTGGCTCAGCGCTGACTGGTGTGAGAACACTTCACAGTCTCTGTAAATAGGTGTATTCTAACTTTATCTGGAGAAATGTTCCTGGGGAATTTGGAAGTCAAAATAGCCGTTTCCTTATGTAAGTGAAGTTACTGGATAAACCAGCTTGGCACAAGAGCCTTGAGAAATAGATAACCGCTGGGACATGGGAATGGTTTAACTGTCCTGCAGTTAACTTTTGCAGTTAATCTTCACTGCCGTTAGCTGAAGTGAGAAAATCCCAGCTGGCGCATCCTTCGCCTGTGGAGGGTTTTGCGTGTTCGCAGCCGACCGCTGGGTCGGTCTCTCCGGTTCTGCAATGGGGGAGACCAAAAGGCCGTCTAGCGCGCTCCCTCTCTCTGGCGAGTATCACAGAGAAGGACAAGCATGTCACGGTATTTCTTAGAATCGATTTGGGCTTCTGACCGAGGCACTTCCTGAGCCAGTTGTATTTAATAGCCCTCTGTGGGGTTTTTCTTCCTGAATTTGCGATGCCCCTTTTGGAACTGAAGCACCAAGTTTCCTTTGCAGAGCCTGGTTCAGCTGAGCTCCAGCAACGGGGCACGGTTCCCTGTTGGTAGTTCCACACTGGCCTGCCAAGGGAACAAGTGAGAAGCAGTTGATATGGGAAAGGATGTTAACACTACCCTGATCGGGGTTTTGGGGTTTTTTTTGACGCTGCCCTAATCGCAGGAGAAGGTTTCAGCTGAATCCTGCTTTGACTTTTATCAGGAAGGTTTGCTGTGGCTGCTTGGGCAAATCTTGCTGTTGAGGAAGATGTGGTTCTTTTGCTTCAAGGTCAAAGTGCAGACAGCTGATGCTTCATTAAGCAGCTGGAGGAAGCGTCTCATCTCATTAAAATGAGGAGCTAATGACCAGGGCGGAAGCAATGTTGGAGCCAGTCTGTACGTTGGTGTCAGATGTGCTGGGGAGACGTTGGCTGCGCTCGCCTAGGCGTTACCCCCGTAAGAGGCCAAGTCGTCCGAGTTCAGCAGCAGATTAAACTGCTCGTTTTGCTTAGGTTTGCTGATACCGGCACCTTTCCCCGCACCCCAGCTCGTACACTGGCCAGCAGTGGGAAGGGGGAGTGTTCCGCCCCTGGTGGACTCTGGGCTGTGGAACTTCCCAGGGCACATTGGCTGGGTGGCAGCAATAAGTCAGTGCCCCCAGCTGGGCTTTTGGTTTTTTAAGTCAATATAGACATTATAAAGCGTTGGGAGACCGGCGGTGAAACAGGATCGTTACCTTCAGCAGGTTTTGTGCAACTTCCCGACATAAAAAGCTTTTGAATTCATTAAGGCTGAATTCAGCTGCACACAGTAAAATGTTGAGCTCTCATGCGACGCTTACCGTCTCACGCTCTGGGATAAATACCTGTTTTTAGCACAGGCAAGGCAAACTTTACATAAATGAAAGCAGACGTGTCCCCAGCTTTGTGCTGGGAGCGTGGAGAGATGTCAACATCAAGCCAGTTTACATGTAAACTGTGTGTGACACTGATGTGCGATAAATGCCTCGTGGTGTAGTTGTACGTATATTGATACTCACTGCTAGTAATTCCTCCCATGAATAGTCTGACCGGCTCTAAGTGACCCCCTGTGCTCCCTGTACATCCATGTCAGCGATGCCCTCATCTGGGACAGCAGTTGGAGAAATAGCTGCAGATCTTCGTGCCATCCTTCTCTTGAACTCGTTCCTGCGCTTACAGCTGGCACCATCCTTCCCGCCTCAGCCCCCGCGACGTCCCTCCAAAGATGCCGCACAGTCTCTGGGTCCTACGCATCCTTCTCGCTCTTCGCAGACCATCGCCTTCCAGATTGTTATTTATAAAGCAGCAGCAGGGAAGGTGGCTGTGGCTTTCACAGGGATATCTTGAACGTTCTCTGAATTCTTCAGCCTTGCTGATGAATAAAAAACTCAAGTCACCTAAGGCCCAGAATTACTGGAGGGAGCGAGGCACGGCCGTACTTCCCTGGCACCGCGTTTCTTCCTCTGCGTGCACCACAACAACCAACGGTGCACAAAATGCAGGCTCTCTGGTTTGCCAGCAGCAGGGGGGTGTGTGGTGAGCTCCTCAGCACACCCAAAAGTCTGCCGCATCCTGCACTGTGCTTTGGGGGATTTGTTTCCAATTAAGGTGTCGATTTCTCCCTTCTCCCCCAAAGCTGGTTTGAATAAAATGGCATTAATAATTGAAATGTGCACAGCCAGCAAAGTGAATTATATCCACATGTGAATTGTATACACACGAGCCTTCCCTGTCAAACAAATACTGTGTGCCTGCTGCAAACAACGTTTATTGGTTAAATTTAAAGTCAAGATTCAATCAAGGAATCTTAACTGAGGCTGTCACGCTTTGCATGAGTGCTGACTCTTTGATAAGCTGGTTTTATTTCCAGCTGGTGAGTGCATCGGACTTTGTAACATTTTTCGGAATAACTTGTGCTCTCTGGGTTGTGGAGGCGGAATTCTCTTAAAAACCAGGAGCTGTTTGCCTGAGGACGTATTAGATGCTCGAGCTGCCTGGCAGCTGGGTCCCTGCAGGTTGACTCAGTATCTGGGGTTTTAATGGGAATAACTGGAAACCCACTTGTGTTATGTATTGTCCTAATGCCAGTCTGGGCTGGGACCTGCTTTTGTACATTATCTAAATCAGGATTTTGGTTTTTGAGCATAAACAGTATCTTATTTCAGTCTCCTGCATATTTTGGATGATAAAGGCACACGGGAGAGACAGCACATTCCTCTTAGTCAAGGTTTAAGTCATGCTTGCAGCACCTATTTCTCTCTTGCTGATTCATCTTCCTTTTGCCTTATTTTATTCCATTAGGTTCTAGGTTGGCCTTGCTCACACGGAATAAAACACGGTGCTGAAGTCCAATAGGACACAAGAAGCTGGTGCATCGGTTTTGGTCTGTAGGTAAGTCAAATCCTGATGGAGGTCCTGTATTAATGATTTACAGACAAAAGCACAGAGCTTAAAAGAGAGGGGGAAGTAGGAATAATCGAACCGTCTGCGGTCTGCAAACATGTCTGGAAAACCAGTTTGCATCGCTGACTTTGAAGAGTATGCTAAAAGATTCCTCCCCAAATCAGTGTATGATTATTACCGTTCCGGAGCAGATGACCAGGAAACGCTAGCGGATAATGTAGCGGCATTTTCAAGGTAGGAGGACGATTTAAGGCTAGGCTGGGAGGTAGGGGGGGAGTGTAAATTCTGCTTTGTTAGTAGATGTGTACAATATTAGATTTTTCTGTGTGAACAAAACTATTTTTTTCTGAAATTTTTGGGTTTTATCAAAACAACTGTCAAATAGTTATTTCTCAGAACAACTGTCTCCCCCCTTTCACTCTTCCATCTAGAATCATAGAATCATAGAATGGTTTGGGTTGGAAGGGACCTTAAAGACCATCTAGTTCCAACCCCCCTGCCATGGGCAGGGACACCTTCCACTAGACCAGGTCGCTCAAAGCCTCATCCAGCCTGGCCTTGGACACTTCCAGGGATGGGGCATCCACAGCTTCTCTGGGCAACCTGTGCCAGTGCCTCCCCACCCTCTCTGTGAAGAATTTCTTCCTGACATCTAATCTAACATTTTCTGTCAAAAAGCAGTCCCTACAATCCATCAGCACCTTTTTAGCTTTACCTGCATTTTATTTCTTTTGATCAGAAATTCTCTAGAGAGTCCTTCGCCTCCAATATTTAATCAGCTGATAAATTTAATTTCTACATTTTGGGCTATAATGCAGGTCGGGGATCCTTCTGCTGAGGTTGTACCTTTTAGGTCCTGAGTCGGTCTTGCCTTTCCCTTGTTCTTCCTAGGCTGGGTTACACAGCCTTCCCCAGTAAGTGCTTGTGCAACATTTGCTAGCTCAGAGCTGCATAGCCTGGTGAAAATGAGTTGTTAGGCTATCTGGTCTCTGGAGCGAGCCGTGACAAACAGGGCTCAGTACTGGGTGGCCAAACCAAGCTCAGGGGGCCTCCAGCAGAAGGTCAGAACTTCACCAGGAAGTACTGTAAATGATGGGAAGCATTATAAACCAGTCTGGGATTGGACTGGCCCCCTAAACTGTTGTCAGAACCTGAACTCACCCTTTGACTCAGAAGTCCAAGGACAACACAACCTAAGTCAGCGTTTGCTGTCAGAGTCGGTGGCCGAGTGTCAAAACTCGTGTCGAGTCAGTTGGTTCCCCATCCCCTGAGTCTCTGCTCCGGTCTGCCCTGAGCATCAGCCCAACGCTGCAGAGGAGGGCAGGCAGCTGGAGGCTGATGGGCTCAGCCGGGCTGAGCCCAGCCAAACGGCCTCAACGGCTGCCCGCTGCGCTGCCCTTCGGGTGCTGTGTTGGTGCAGGCGTTTAACCCCCCTGCACTTGTCTCTGCTAATCTCTAAAGGCTTTGTCTGAAATCCCTCGGAGTCTGATGAACCAAACCAAGATTTTTGTAATTTGCCTTTCATCTTCCTCCCTCCCTGCTTTGCTTTTTTCCAGTTGCCTTTCCATGGGCTATGAGCAGTTCAGCTGGAAATCCCACACAATATTCTCAAGACTCCAGGAAACTCAGTAGTAATTAATTTCACAGAAACTCAGTGGCCAGATCTCAGAAATCAGCTCAGAACCCTCATTTTAGGGACATGTATAGAAAAGGATTGTAATGAGAGGAGAAGGAAACAAACCTCTGCTGTGCCCACATATCCTAGACCTCTTCATCTGCGTGGCGTCCCCCAGCACAGGTTGGAACTCCCCTTGCGCTTGGTGCTGTACAAACACGAGCCAAAGGGCTGCTCCCAGTCCAAGGAGTAAATAGGAGCAGGAGGGGATGCTCGCCTACTTTTTTAAATGCTTTTTACTACTAACCGCTACAGCTAATCATGCTTAAACACAAGCTGGATCTAATCTGCCCAGAGAGAGGCTAACACAAAGCTGGGTATGTCCATGTGCTGTCTTGGTACTAGCAGAGGCAGATGTCGGGGGTGAGATAAGAGCAGCTCCGCGCTGCGGCTGTTCCCCACCGCACAGGCAGATTCCTCTGACAAGACAACCTCCTTGCGTCGGGCTGGCCACTTGTGGGGTTTGGGCTCACCTCCTCTTTCCTGGCCTCTTCCGTGGTATTTCCAATAAGAGTCTCCAGGTTTAAACATTCAAAACTTGCAGGCAGCCTGGAATTGAAGTAGGAATTAGTTAACAGTGCTTTGAAAGCCTGAGACATTTAAAAAAAGTAAATTATTCAATTTGCCAGGTCCTGGTGTGGCTAAAAGGCTGGTGATGCTGGGTTCCAGCTCCTCAGCAGTGAGGGTATGAAGGGGATGGAAGTCTTTGCTCCCCCTCCCTTTGTATAGTGGTCTTAAAGAAAAGGAGATCTAGTTTCAGCAGTAGCTCCAGCCCGTTTAAACGCCTTCCACAACGCAGTTAATAAAATCTCAAAGAGCTGACAAGTGGGGTTTACTCTGCGAAATCATCAAACAAAACAGCACTTGGTGACAGCCAGAGAGGGAGGTCGCAGGGCAGAAATGCTGGTCAAAGCTTTGCTTGTCACCTTCCCATCGCTCTGCGTCTTTGGCCCTTTCTGGGTGTCTACCAGAGCCCAGAGAAGTGCAGTGATGTGGGGGAGAGCGGGAGCCTGAAATACAGCTTCCCTGGTGCTACGCGCGGTCCCCTCCCTCCCGGTCACTGTGGCGCCAGCGCAGCTCGTGCTGCGAGGGTCGGCATCTCCTAGGGCTCGCCGCCTTCACCGGGACGGAGGGGAACGGAGGCAGGGCTGGAGTGTGGCTGCAGTGATGTGCCGCTTCACAGACAAATGTGCTCTTTTATCTGCCTGAAACGAGGGAGATGATAGTAGAATCGTAGAATCATAGAATCACAGCCTGGACCTTAAAGCCCATCCAGTTCCAACCCCCTGCCATGGGCAGGGACACCTTCCACTAGACCAGGTTGCTCCACGCCTCATCCAGCCTGGCCTTGAACACTTCCAGGGATGAGGCATCCACAGCTTCTCTGGGCAACCTGTTCCAGTGCCTCCCCACCCTCTCTGTGAAGAATTTCTCCCTGATATCTAATCTAAACCTCCCTGATTTCAATTTGTACCCATTTCCCCTTGTCCTGTCACTACAGGCTCTTGTAAAAAGTCCTCTCCCAGTACCCTTGTAGCCCCTTCAGATACTGGAAAGTAAAGGCGGTCAGAGTTAAAAATAGCCTTTACGCAGCACTGAGAAACAAGTTAAATCGTTCTCAATGTTCCTTGTGCTTTACCTGTCTTTTTCCCAACGGAGATGCGTCTGTGAAGCAGCGTGTGCTTGCTGCCTGCAGACGGATGGACCTTCCTCTCTGCACGGGTGACCTCGGCAGCTTGGTGGAAGCGTGTTGATCCCAGGGCTGCAGGAGCTCCATCGTGATGGTTCCCTCTTGTCTCTGCTGAGGGACACGCGTGGCGGTAGATTTTTTGAGCAGATGGGATGCCAGGGTTAACGGTTCATTAGGCTGTGTTTGCAATGGCTTCCTGGCAACACGTCTGGAAAAGGTATAAAGTCACATAAACCTAGTGTAAAGACTTCACAGTGGTTTGCTTTATAAGACCTGTTTGTCACAAGCAACCTTTAAATTATTTCTTCTTTTTTCTTCGATGCTGCTGGGAGAGGCGTGGCCTAAGCGTTAGGGATGCAGGACTGCTCCTCGCTCTGACCCTCGCACAGCCCTTCCGTGTCTCTGAGCACGTTACGGCCTTTTCTCCCTCTTCCTGAGCACAGCTTGTGGGTAAATGTAAAATGAGATGGACTTTACGCCCCTGAGCCACAGAGATGACAAAGCCAAGTAACTTTGTGAAAGAAACGAGTATATGTTCAGCTTCATTTCCCATTCATTTCCACTGTCAGAGGCTTCGTTGCAGGGTTCAGCCTGATTAAAAACGTATATGGTTTATTTAAATACTTACAGATATATGTATAAATGTTTATGTTTAAGTGGAAAGGAAGAAAGCACGAGCTTGAACCAGAAGCATGAGCTGTTAGCCCATACCTTTGTGGTGCAAGATGGTTCAGGTGAGCAAAGCTGCTGGGACAGGTTGTATTTGGAGAATAATCAGCACTGGGTTTGTCTCTGAGCTCTTTTTTTTTTTTGGCAACGGAATGGTTGCATTTATAGAAATAACATCATTATTAAGGATCTAGCAAACAAGTGGTTGTGTCCATAGATGCTGCAGTGCCTTTGGAATGGCCCATGCAGTTTTTGGAGCCGGGCAATCCATATCCCTTTGATTATAAAATGGATGTCCTGGCCTTGGACAGCACAGGACCTAAAAGTACTTTGGACCTGTAATCAGATGTCAGAGTATAAAATGTCTCCAAAAGGCCAAAGTTTCAGGTGAGGTTAACAACCCCAGGTACAGTGACTCTCCTCCAGCTTCCAGTTCTTCTGGGACGGAGGGAGGAGCTGGGGGTCACCTATCAGCACCGCTCTGTGCTTCTAAGGCCGGATAATTGTTTTTTATTCATAGTTTTCAGGTGACGTGGAGATGGCACTGGCGTGAGGCATTAAGGCCGGAGAAAGTGCTTTGGGGTGTCTGAGCGTGCGTTACTCCCCACGGCGTCTGACTGCATTCACCTTCCCTTTGCTCTGTGTCCCGAAACACCGCGTGTCCTTCCAGCTCTCCAGAGATCAGATTTCCTCCCGAGTTGTCAGGGAACCAGGGGCCCTGAATGGCAAATAGGTTTTATGACAAGGTCGGGACGTTTTTAGCTTGACGGCATTCAAGAAATCAATCTGAAATGCCCCCTCTCAGCATTTTAATGAAGGGGGATGTCTGTGTGTGTAGGAACACGTCGCTGCTAATCCGCAGTGACACCTTCTGCCACCGACTCCCCGGCGGCCTTTGGAGAAGATGTGTTTTGGCATCATGTGCGAGGAGCAGCAGTTGCTTATCAGTGACAGCATCGATGTTTATTTTTCTGCAGACATATCACAGAATCAGAAATGGTTTGGGTTGGAAGGGACCTTAAAGATCATCCAGTTTCAACCCCCCTGCCATGGGCAAGGACACCTTGGCATGAAGGCATGAAGGGTGTTAAAATGACTGGGCACGTGAATATTTTTAATATTGGTTAAAAAAGCAAGGCTGAGAATGTTGTGGGGTCAAACAAGCATGTGGAGATGGGGGGAGGGGAGGGCAGAAAAGGAAAGGAATGCTTGTAATAATAAGCTGGTTACATTTCTGCAATGTCTTTCCCCATGGATGTGCAGAGTGCTGCCGAAAGAGCCACCATGTAGGTGGCAGGACACCCTGGGGGAGAAAATCAATCGTCCTCAAGCAAAAGCAGCTGTTGGCTACCTTCCCAGCACCAGCACCTGCCCCTTAGGTTGGGAAGGGGAGAGGGAGGGGAGACTAAGGCAGCAAAGTGGGCTGGAGACGGGCTGGAGACTGCCGGAAGGATGTGTCCTTGCCCAAGCGTACCACTGGTGGTGCAGCACGACGGGGCTGTTGAGCACCGACTTGGAAGGGAGGGAAGAGCAGCTGCTTCGAGATGTGTTGTGGTTTGAAAATATCAGCGTTTTTCACAGCTGAAAATGAGTGGGGGAAAACAACAAGGGCCTCCCTCTAACTGCAAGGTGATTTACATTCTGAAATATTTGAGCGTGGAGGGGGGAGAAAAATCACACTAATCCTTGCTCCTTCCTTTTCATCCTTCTTTCAAACTAGTTTTTAGCTGAAATTGCCTGAATCGTGAGGGCTCGCTGCCTGCCCTGCTGGGGCGTCTCCCTGCTTCCAGCTGGGAGGAAAGATGCCCTCCCCTGCAACTGCGGATTGCAGCACGTGCATGTAGGCTTGGCTGGAAAAAATGTGGGTGATGCGGAGATGAATCAAATAACCCAAAACCCAGGGTTTTGACAACATATCCGGGAAATCTTTTCACTCAAAGACTCGGAGGAAGCAGATGTGCGGCAGCCTCACGAATGTGCGCTCCGGTTCCTGGGAGATACTGCTCTTGGGCTTTCCTTGCTGTCGCTGAGGGCATTCCCCTATGGCTTGTCCAGAAAATCCCGCACTTCAAGTGTCTGGCAGATTCACAGCCGAAAACATCCATGTTATATAAAGCACGATCAGGTTTTATTTAAAAGACCCCAAAAAGCTCGTGGATGGAGTCATTTGATGGTGGAGTGTGAAGGAGGCTGTTTATTGCTGCTTGAAACAGCATCATTTTTCTTGCATACATTGTTGGGAGGATTTTTCCTCTTTCCTTTCCCAGCTAAAAGCGCTACAGAAATGTTGGTGCTTCGAGACTGACCCTCACGCATGAGCTGCGAGATGGCAGTGGTTTGCACCAGGTAAAAATCTGACCCATCCAGGGCAGCAGAGAAACGAGGAGGCTGCAGAAAAGTGAGATAGTCCCCACCCTTACACTTTGGAGTTTGACCAGAAAAATGAGCAAGGTTATTAAAGGATTTCTGTTTGCTTTATATTTGCTGAGAAAAGATGTCTCGGAGCTGGGAGAAAGGCTTCAGAATGAGGCTTAGGAAGAATGGGGGAGAAAAAAGTCATGTTTTCTTTGTCCCGCCCTCAGCCCATCCTCCCCTGAAAAATAACAAACCGATACAATAGCACGAAAACAAGTTGGAGGAGACATACTTGCAGTGTGTGTCTTGGCATCAAATAACACAGCTGACTCCCACAACTACACGTCTCCTTCCAAGCATCATAACCATCTTTCTCCTCCCTGGGGTGCGCTTCCTGGAGAGCTGTCACGGCCCTGTGCTCTTAGGGTGACAGAAATTCGGGGTTCATCCTGCCGCTGTCCCAGGCTTCTTATGGAAATGTCTCTTGATCTTTCTGTAAAATGAGGAGGTTTTTTCTTTTCTGGTGTTTTTTCTAACTTAATACACAAGCTCAGGCTGACCTCTGCTTGCTGTCAGAGCGTAGTCCGAGGATAACAGCGGCTCTGGTCACTTATCTCCTTACTAGTAGTAGTAATAATACCAGCCTCAGGCTTTCTAGTGCTGAGCAGGTAGTCAGGTGTAGCGGTACTAGAGCTTAAGCTTTTAATTATTTTCTGTCACTAAAATTCAGTAGCCATCACCTGAAAGTGCGGAGTCCCTTCAGAGGGAGGGCTGCCTCACTGAGAGCAGGGTGCGTACCCTACTACCCCTTGCAGCGCCTTTGACCTCTGCGCACGCAGCCGGTGAGGTGCAGCCCCTGCTACCGCGCACCCTCCGGTGACCTGGAGTAACGGTGGCTGCGCTGCAGCCTCCCCTGGGTGGTGGGAAAAGTCCGGTTTGACAGGTACCCCCAGGAAGGCAAGACGGTTAAGAGACATTTGGATATTGTGGCATCATCTGGTTGACCCGCTAAGCAGGATTATGATCCTGTTGTGCTGCTGTTGGGGAAGGGAAGAAAAGATGAATTTCTGCGTGTGCAAGCACGTGATGTCCAGTTTGACTGCGATAAATTGCAATTTCAGGTTAAGTGTATCTTAGTTTGCTCTGTTTCGGAGGCAGCTTCCATTTGTACCCGGGCCGAAGACTCCAGCGGAGGATAAAGCCCAGCTCTGGGCTGACGCGAGGCAAGGCAAGGTTGGGAATGGTTGAGCTGATGCTGGCCCACGTCATTCAAGGACTAGATTGTAATTTGCCCTGTTGGGAGAGCAGTTGTGTGCTACTTGGTCTTTTCCTGCACCAAATTACAGTGGCCGTGTTTAGTCTTTCCCTGGAAGTCTGGAGTCCCTGCAGCACAACGGGCCATCCCTGGGGCTGCAGCTGTAGTCCTGGGGACTGTGCGATGCATGGCAGCCGGGACTGCCAGGGATGGCACCTCTCCAAGTGAAGTGGCTCAGTCTCTGTGCCAGCAGAGATGCGGTGCAGTTTTCCACACCCCCCTGAGCTGAGGAAATCCGGGCCAGCAATCCTGCCCACCCACTTGCCATTGGAAGAAGCGTGGCAGCTCGTTTCTGTGTCGTCTCACTGGAGGGACCTGTAGCACAAGGATGGGGTGGGCTAAGAATGTTGGCCAGGTTAGTTTTATCCAAAAATCCTGTGTCTTTTGGCTCCTTAGTCTATAGAAGAAATATCCAAGGAGACCTAATGACTTCTGCTCCTGCAAGACCTTCTGTCATCCAGTTCTGCCCCGGTGCTTTTGGGTAGGCTGAGACTTGCTGTGAACCTTAGTACTTCATAGCTCCAGTCTTTTCTTTCAAACTGGCAGATTCCTTGGTTGAAAGGCCTGTTTCACCCTTCATGGACTTTGGTCCCTCCTTGCCTGCTCCCTCCTGGCTCTGTGTGTTTGTGGGTCCTGCTGCAGCTCTGGGTCATGCAATGAAGTTCTGCTCCAGACCCCAGCACATCCTCCCCAGTACCTCCTGCAGCTTCTTCTGACAGCAGGAAAATCTGCTCTTGGCCTTTAGGAACTGGAAATAAGGCTGATGACGCAGGCTTTTTATTCTCTTTACTTGTCTCTGTGTCAGATGGAAGCTGTACCCCCGGGTGCTCAGGGACGTGTCGGCGATGGACCTGTCAACCTCGGTCCTGGGGCAGCAGATCAGCATGCCGGTGTGCGTTGGAGCGACCGCCATGCAGCGCATGGCTCATGCTGACGGAGAGACGGCGACAGCTAAAGGTAAACCCGAAAATTGAAACTATGCATCTTTCCGTACATTCTATAAATATAACTACACGTATTGTCACAGCAACGTTCTTCCTGTTACAGAACCGCTTCTAGAAATTCAGAAGCCTTTGCTTGTCTGGGTAAAACACTCGCTTTGAAGAGCGCTCTTAGAGCGCATCGCAGGGAGCCAGTGAGATAAGGGCCCCTCTGGGCTAGGTGCTGCACAAAGATGTTGCCAGCACACAGGCTGCCGCCTGAAAGGCTGCGAGAAGCGGGGTGTTTACCAGGATTCAGATGCGAAACCGTTTCCTACTCCATTAACCCCAGCTGCAAAATGACATGACGTCCGAGAAAGAGGTCACGCAGCGCGCCTGTGGCATACAAACAGCATCGGGCTTCGCGTGTCCGTGCGCTAGCACGGAATGAAAAAGGATACAGAGCCCAAATAGGCGATATTTAAAAAGAAAGAGTCCTGTGCACGGCTGAGCTGTTCATCTAACAGCATTTCCATGACCAATGCCACAAATGCTACTGTGAAGTGAGTGTGATTATCTGCCCCGCAGTGGGAGCTGGTGTCGTGTCATAAACGGCCGTGTCGCCGCGATGGGCTGCAGCACCACTCCGGCAGCAATCTCCGTAAAAGCGGATCTGACCGATTTTATAGTACACTTGGGGATTTTCCCCTTCCCAAGAGGTTTATTAGGAAGCCAAGGATTTTTATGCCTGTTGTATGTGCAGGCGCGTTCCACACGATGGAGCTCCAACACCTCGCGTTGCTTTGCAAAGCAGGGTCCAGTGGGACCTCCCCGTGCTGTCCTGGTCCCTTGGCAACTCCTGCGGATTATTTTGGCTGAGGTTATCCTGGGAGGAAACTCTGCAGCATTATGCTGCTAAGTGCAAACAAACTAATGCGATGTTAAGAGCGGGACTTGAAAACACACAAAATTCAGTATGTTCCTTAGCAGAAATTCCCACCGATACCGGCACAGACCTGTAACGGCACGTGGAGTCGAGCGGTGCAATAAGGCTGACTTCCAGGGCTGAGTTATGCTTGTGGTAGATAGCTTAATTTTGGAATTTCCTGACTTTTGTGCGCTTATGTTTCCAAACTTTAACATACGATTATTGCACTTCATGTTCCTGGGTTTTCAAGCTAGGGGAGTCCGGTGTACTGGCAATGGTTTGAATGTGCGGTCAAATAAACGCATCCGTGGGAGCTGGTAAACTTTTCGTCGCTTTTAAAGGAGGGTGTAATTAAACTCACGCCCTCCTTATTGCATTAGCATTTCTTGTAGAAAAAATACGGCTTCGGTTTTGTGTTCTGTGAGAGGTGGAGTAGGGCATTCAGTGCCAAGTTTTGGTTTGACCTTATAAGATGACAGGGATTAGCCGTAAAGTACACGTTTGCCTTAAAAGTTCCCTTAAACTTGGGACATACGGGATTGGGGCAGGTTTGCTACATCCAACTTCTCTTAAATTCTGTGATAGCTCTGAAATATAAGCGAGCAGATTGTTGGTTGCTTTAAATCAGCTTTTGCTTCAGCTGCACCGGTTTACGCAAGCTGGGGAAGCCTGACCCGGTCTTGTGGCGTTTGCAAAGCCTGGCTGGCTCCGTAAGCTTGACTTTTGGCCAGGTGCCAAAGGGCACACATCTCCTTTGTTAGGGTTAAACCCCAAGAGATAATCTTGGGTTCACGCCATCCTTACCTGCAGAGCAGGGTGGTGCAGGCAGTGGTAGCAGGTCCTTCCCCTACCTTTGTGTATTTTGAGAACGATGCCTGATCCTCCAAGAAATTCCCTGAAGTGACAGCACGTTGCTTTGGAGTGCTCCGCTCCTCCATGAGTCTGCCTGCAGGCTGCAGCCTGAATGTCCTCTCTAGGGACAAGGGCTTGTGGTGGTGTTCCTCGTTGGGTAAAACTCCCTGCGCTCATCACCTCTCGCCTTGGGGCTTCTCAGGGTGTTGGGAGCTGCTTCCCCTTGCTCCTGCAGCTCCCTGAGGGATGCTCTCCTGCAGCGACCGGGCTGGCAGAGAGCAGCACGTGTCTCACCCAAAACAGGGCAAAGTCTGGCACTTTGCCTTAAACACACCTTCACTGTCAATTCTCGTTAGCAAACGATGTCTTTGGGGAAGAATGCTCAATTGTAACTTTAAGAGTTGCCGGTGATGGGCAATCCACCACAACGTAAACTATTCCAAAGGTTAACTGACTCCACTCTGAGCAGTATCAACGGTGATCATGGTCAAAACTCGTACAGCTGCAAATCCAGCTGTTGCATTTTGTTGTGTTTCTGTCAGGTAGGCTTCAAAAAAGGAGAAAAAAGGTGTCCATGTAGGCTGCAGTTAGGTTGCTCTTCAGTTTTCTTTGACATGTCTAAGTAGACCTGGCGCCCTTCCTTCGAGAGAAAGTTCTCTTGTCCTTGAAACAACTTCAGGGGCGTTGGCAGTTGTTCCAGTTTTTCCAGGTCTTTCTTCAAGTATATTCCCTGGCATTTTAGTTGTAGTTCATCAGTATATGTGGCAGTTTTCCAAATAATGGATTTTCTGTTCAGGAGAAACTGAAATATTGGGAGGAAAATGGTTTTGGATTAGCTGAAATGTTTAATTTGATCCAAAACACATTGTTTTATTTCATTTTCCTACTAGCTAATGCTTTTAGCCATAGTTCTGTTTTGAAACAAGAGTGTTAGCTGAGGAGAAAACATTTCCATGTTGAAAATATCAACACATGACATTTTGACTTAGGTGAATTTTTTCTCATCCTTCCCGCTCCAATTTCAACCTCTTTAACTAAAAATATTTGCCAAACTTGATGAATAATCTTAGCCACCATTAAAGAGCAAAGTGCTCTTCTCTAAACACTTTTCAGCAGAACTCTTCTGATTCTACATGATTATTTTTTCCTGCTTGTCCATCAGGAGATTCACTATTCCTCCCAGGGATCTGCCATCCCAGCTTTGCTGTACTTGCCGACCGGCGCGATCCCCGTCTCCACTCCCCGAAAGCGCAGCAGCACTCGTGCTCCTGTCAATAGGACCCACCTTCAAGTACAGAGAAACAAAGTCCTCCTGCACCATCCAGCTGCTTAGCAAGAAATGGCAATTTTTTGAAACCTTAATTGTTTACAAACCGATATGTAGCATTATTCTGTTGATATTGCTGCTAATTACACAAAGCCCTCTTACTGAGGGAGTACCTTGCGCTTTAGCCCAGAAGCAGAATGGCAATACCTGACTTCCCTCTGACTTGCTGAAAATCAGGTGCAACAGCCTGACTCTCTTCTTGGCCATATATTTGAAAACTTCAGATGCTACTTGCTGGGATCTAGTGATTCTGGTTTACCCTCTGCTGTTGCTCTCAAACAACGTCGACTTATCCCGAAAATCAGGCGCAACAGCCTGACTCTGTTCTTGGCCATATGTTTTGAAAACTTCGGATGCTACTTGCTGGGATCTGGTGATTCTGTGTTTACCCTCTGCCGTTGCTCTCAAACAACGTCGACTTATTGCTGACGCAAGAAGGGTTTCACCATCACCTGCGGTGTGACTGCACCATTTGCTTTGCCAACTAGAGAATAGGAATATGGACTGAAAAGCTTCCCCCCTCCCCATTTTAATTGGGTTACTGGCAGCTCAGTCCTTTCCATAGAGAGGGAGCAACACCTTTGTTCTTTTGGCTCTCAACAGACTTCCACCGTGCTTTTGTTGCTTCGATGCTGCTGAGCATCTGAACTGAGGTTCCCTGTGCTCACTGGTCATGCCTGTGACTCTGAAGGATGGATTTTGTGATCTGTTGCTTTTTATGCTGGACGGCCGTGAAAACAGCAGGATTTTGTACCCACCTTTTATGTGTTGCCTATGTCATGTTCCAAAAAAATGTTAATTTTGAGGTATGGCTATTCCAGAGTCCTTCAGAGGACAAGATTCACGTGGGACAACATGGCCTGGACTGCCCAGGTCCTGACTCCCCCCAGAGATGGCACGGCCAGGGGACTTTGTGATGCAAGTGTACGCAGGCAGTCTGGCGTGACAGCCCTCCTAGACCGGCCAGATCCATCTTGGCCACGCGCATTTTTCCCTGCTGCCTCCGGCCTTCCTGCCCAGCTGACAAAATGCATTGTGTCAACAAAATGACGGGAGGCACAACTCGCACGCAGTGTTTTGTAAGGGGTAAGTGAGGCAAGGCTGGGCAGGGGATTTCTCAGCCAAGTGTGTTTCGTCAAGGGAGTCGTGTAAGTACATTAAACAAGCCTGTTTCTTAGGAGATGCAGCTCCAAGAACACAGCTACTTCTCTTGAGAAATACCGCCGTGCCGAAAGGACGTTGCGTTGATCCCAAATAAAGTCCTCTGGCCCCTAACCTGGGGACAGCAGATTCACTGGTGGATTCAGGGAAGAATGACCACAGTGGGGCAGTTTGGCTGCCGTGCTTTGAAGATGCCCCTAAAAGGGAAACGATGGGAATTTGCACAGCTAGAGAAGAACAGCAAGTGTTCCCATTCCCATACAAGGTAACCCTGACAAGATATGGAAGCTTAAACTGGGTCTCCAGTGTCATCCCCTGAAGTGTGGTGCCAGAGTTGCCCATAGGGACAAACTCCATACCCTTCCCAAACCATGTCCCATCGGAGGTGGGAAGGAGATTCTGAGCTTTTATCCCTAAAAGAGGGATAAGAAACATTCTCCTATGGACTTCCCAAGTGGGTAAAGTCCCGTGCTAAGCCTTGACTTATTGCTATGTAAAATATTGAAGTTGAATTCCCCAAGAATAAGGAAAACCCCGTTTTATCGAGGTTTGTGTTCCCTGGTGAGAAGACAGGTCCTTACAGCTACACTGGGCTAAGTACAGGCAGGGAGCAGTGGGGCTGAGAAACCTACACACGCTCCAGGCAGCCGTGGAGCGAAGGCTGTGAAGCTCCCCTTTCCCAAGCACCCCACCGTATCCCAGTTCTAGGTGCATTTGGCCTTGAAAGAAGGCGGAGTACAAATAACCCAAAGCTTTATTCTCCTGATACCGAAGACGTCCTCAGCCTCCTGCGCGTGGCCACGCTCCCTGCACGCTCACTGACCTCAGTGGGGAGCCTGCTGCCTGTACGACAGTGAGCGCATCCTTCGGGCAATGCTCGGGATTAAAAGGAGACCTGAAGGGGAAACCACCAACTGACCAAAAAGACTAAAAGCAGTCTGAAATGGCATGAGGAAAGGCTGGTTTACAAAAATCTGATGTTTAAACTCTGGCAAATGTCACACGTTGCCGCAACAGCACCCCATGGGAATATGGATCCTGTTCTCATTTGTAATAACAAATAGAGGTATTTGCAGCACCCCAAAACTGAAGTGGAAAATACGGTTTTTGGAGGAAATGAATTGCTTCCGTTTTCTTCAACTGCAGCTAGATGTGCAAGAAGTGGGAGCACAATTTTAGCAAAACCTGATTTGAGGTAGAAGAACACAGAAACGCTTCAGCACTGTGTATTGTGTTTTTTTGAAGGCCTAGAAACTGTCAAAATAAGCTTTCAAATGATCAAGATAAAGCCCACATCCACTAAAACTGAAGCTTGGAATCTCTAAAATTTTGAAAAATGTTATGTGCATGAAGTTTGAATTTTTGCATATCCAAAGTACGTGTGTTGACCTGGTGCTTTACCAGAGTTGTTAACTTCACGGGGCAGACGAGAGGAAGTTTGTGAGTGGCTTTTGTGAAAACTCCGTAACCCAGTTTGGGATATTTGAACTCTGATTGAACCAAACTGCTTAACTCTCATCTTGAATGAGATGAAAGTGTTATCTTCTCTGTTGACACATGTGCAGATAGGTTGGAAGGAAATGGTGTTATTTTGTGTTTTCAGTCTTCCATTTGCCGAATATATTTTATTGTGCAATTTCTAGTTTCCTTTTTGCTTTTGCAACAATTATTGTAACCTCAGGATTGTGGAGGTAGAGTTGAGAATAAAAGTAAGACTAGAAATAAATGGATACCTCAGGGCAGATTGAACCATAACATTTACATTTTTCCCTTATCTGATCTGGGGGTTTTGCAACTGCTGGGTTAGCAACCCTCCCTCTCGTTCACAAACTTGTGTTTGACAGAACAGCAGGCATGCGGGTCCCTTGCTTCTGAGAACCGCTTAATGGTCTTGATTTGGGAAATCACTCATTATGGGATTCACTGCAGCTGATTTTAACAGGACCTTAAGCATCCGGCATGCATGGGTTCTTCAGAAGAAACTCGCTTCTAGGTACTTAATCTGAGAGAGGGAACTCTTTCCAGTAATTTTAAGAGGACAAGTCAAATGGCTAAAAGGTAGAGTGTTCGGGTTCATTGCTACTGTATTTCCGTTGATTGAAAGCTGCCAGGTGGCCATGGGAGGGTGTAACGAATTTGTTTGAATAAGCTGTTCATAAGTTTCCACTCTAAGAGACTTGTAATCCTTATTTAATAAAATGTTGTCATAAAGACCACTTTTTAATTCCTTGATGGGCTGGAGATGACGTTTTGAAACAGAGGTCCATTTACATTAAAAATATGCATACTGCGGTAGACCAAGAAAAATAAGGCTTTACATAATATTTGAGTTTTACAGTGTGTTTTCCTTTATTTCATATTACGTGACAGATTACTCTGAAAAGAATAAGCGATAGATTCATAAAAATATAATTGCATGAGGTTAGCTGGTTTGTAGTGCAGCCTGGGTCGGAAATCACCCGCCGGGAGGCAGCCGGCACAGAAGCCTCTGGCTGCTTAACCTCCTCTGGGATAGTTTGATGACCTGGGGCTTCCCACCCCTCAGCGTGATTTCACTCCACAGCGTTTAAAGGTAGAAGAGGAAAGGCCAAAACACACTGGGCATGAGCACCCATCCTTTTGGCCTCAGCGGAGACTTTGGAGGCCACTTGGCTGCCGTACCTGCTCATCTTTGTGTTTACTTCTGGGGTACCACCTGGGATACGTTTCTCCCACTCTCAGCGAGATCAGAGCTTCTACTTTTCATTGCCAAAGTGTAAAGGATTGTGTGGGGGATCACAGAATAGACACGGGGTCCCTCTCCGTCGGGCCGCGAGAGCGGCGGCAAAGGTGTTGAAGCAAAGAACAGCGGAGCTTCCTTCTCAAGTTTTTAAGGTTGGCAGCTGCACGGTGTCCTTCTGTTTTATTATGCCTCAAAAATCCCCATGGGGATGACAACAGGCATTTACTAGAATGCTTTAAGAAACAGAAGCTTAATGCTGGTGATTGTGGGGATGGGAGAGAACAGCCCAATGGCCGTGATCAAAACGCTCGAGGGAGCACGTGTGGCAGTGGTGAGGACGGACGAGCAAGGTAGCGAATGACAGACCCAAAGCACCGACCCGCAGCCATGTGTCAGTGTTCAAAAAGTTGGAAGCCTTCGATGGGTATTTTTATAGATAATTTGAAACTGCGTGTATGTCCTTAAACCTACGTGCCAAAATTTGACGAGTGCTAGCCGAGCACTAGAGGCTTGCCAACAGGCTCCCCACGGGGTAAAGGGTTATTAATAGGGGTTAGGCTTGGTTTGATTGTCTTTTATGTCCAGTATTGGAGCAGGGATCATCCTGAGCAGCGTGCAGACAACAGTCACCAGCAAGATGCTTATGAACACGGAGAGGAAACCAGAGCGCTCTTGCAGCAGCCCACCGCTGTTAGGAACTGCTGCTGACGTAGCATTCCGCAGGGGAAATGCACTGACGCCGAGGGAAGGCTGTGTGAAGTTACGTGCACCGGCACGCTCTCGTCAGCCAAGTGCTGCTGTTTGGAGGAGCCTCTGATTTTTGGATAGTCTTGAATATAACTTTGTGTTTCTCCAGCCTGCCATGCAATGGGGACGGGGATGATGCTGAGCTCCTGGGCCACCTCTTCGATTGAAGAAGTGGCTGAAGCCGCTCCAGCTGGCCTTCGCTGGCTGCAGCTTTACGTGTACAAGGACCGCGAGGTTACCAAATCCCTCGTGAAGCGTGCGGAGAGGGCAGGCTACAAAGGGATCTTCGTGACGGTGGACACGCCCTTCCTCGGCAGGCGTGTGGACGACGTGCGCAACAAGTTCCAGCTCCCTCCCCACCTCAGGTAGGTGCCTGCTGGTGGGGTGTGGGATGGGTACGTGGCAGCGCCGTTGTCACCATGAGCTGCCACGGGGAAATTTGTCGCTGGCACAAGGTGTCACACGCCGCACGGGGCAGTAACACCAGGGAGTGGAGCACCTATCTCTCACTGTGCTTGGGCTGTGATCTGCTTTGGGTCAGAACTAAGGTTTCTTGGCTGGTTGCAGACTGAAAAAGAGGCTGTGTGCCAGGCAACGTGAGGCTGCAGACTGGTGAAGGTAGGTAGAGCGGTGGGACATTCCTCTGTGCATCTGTCAATATGTCCTTGGGCATCTTCAGAACTCAGCTGCGCACGGCTCTGTGCAACCTGCTCTGGCTTTGAACGTGGATCCAGCTGCAGCATTGGCTGTGCTCTGAACAGGGGCCTGGACAGAGTGGGCCAAAGAACCCTTTCAGCTGGTGTTACTCTGTGACACTGTGCTGGGTCCAAGGCCACGTTGCTACTGACCATGGAGCCCCTTGCCAAACAACTTCAACACTTCTTTTACTCACATACAGAAACGTATGGGTATTGGTCTTCTCCTTGAGGGTTATTTGTACCCCCTATGTGCATTTTGGGGCATTTTCTGTATCTCAGAAGAATTTGTGGCTTCATGATTGACTTCAGCACTAGTTCTAGTTCCTGTCTACTACAGGACCTATACAGCATTTAATTTTAACGGAGTGATTCAGCGGTAAGGGCACCCATTTCACTAGCTGTTTGCAAATACACGTTGGTAGGCTGTAGAGACCACCCTGATAAACATATGCTGAAGTGCTGGCACAGTGTTAGTGGCCAAGGATTGTATTTAGTGGATGGGATATCTAGGACTTGGGTTTGCAAAATGGAGCTGCTGGAAGTGTATTTAGTGGATGGGATATCCAGGACTTGGGTTTGCAAAATGGAGCTAAAAGTCTTGCGAGAATCTTGCAAGTAGATCTCGGTAGTGACCACGGTCTGCCATGGCATGTGTTAAGACTAGTGTGTTTGCTTATATTCAGAGCCTGCAGATGAACACAAGAATGGAAATAAAAGAAATAAAGGATAGCTGAACCTATTTTAAAGAAGATTAACTTGTAGTTTTGGGTGAAAACTAGTCTTGTAGTTCACCCAAACTTCACTTGTAGTTGAAGTGAACCCAAAGTTCACTTGTAGTTTTGGGTGAAAACTAGTTTTGAATGTTAGCAGTGGCCCTGAAGTGCTCTTCCAATGTCTCCAAAGACTGTTATGTTGTACTATGTACGTACCATATGTAACATGTACATAGAGAGAAAACAGTATCACATCCTGAGGTCTTTCTTCTTTGTCACACTATTCAAATTGAAGGTAAGCCATGGGACTGTACAATGAATCACATTCTTCACGTCGCAGGCAAAAATATCTCCAGAGCTTGGGGTGTTGGATCTCCCACATGTGCTTGTATGTGAGGCTCATAGATGATATGATGAGGGTTGACAGAGCAACCTTAACCCTGCCTATGCTTTCTGTATTAAAGTACAATCTTAGGAGGAAAGCACCAGGAACCACAAAATCCCTGACGTGTCTAACATTAAAATGTTGTACGCTGGTATGCATATGCTCCGCGAAGTCATCCTGCTATAGATCTGTGATTGACAAAACTTGATTGATACACACTGTCATTTTACCTAAAAAAAATATTTAATTCTTTAAATAGCTTTTGTTTGGGCAGTATCTTTTTAAGGCCTGGGATTAAGCAGTTTTTGAATGTGATTCAAATAACCCTAAAATATTTCAGGAAAGCGATAGAGCATTTCTGAAGCACTTTGACCCCACCTGACCCAACCGTAACAAGGTTTTGTTTGAGTGAGCCACATGAAATAATAACGTTGGGGTAATCTTTAAAGGTTCGAATTAATCACTTGAGGTTTCAGAACGACACTTGGACAGTGTTTTGTTGCAGAGTCAGTGGTGAAACTCTCCTAGCGCGGGGCTCTGCTCAGTTATGTGATAACTTTTTCTTGGCTTCAGGATTTCAACAAAGTTTCAAAGCAACAACAAGGTGCCATTGTGCTCAGAAACGTATGTAAGGCAACATTCATTCAAGTGTTGATCTGCATTTCACAGGCCAAGAAAAACAACAGTTATTTATATAATCTTATCCATGGTTCTGTTTTCCTCTCGGTACCCCACCCTCCACAAACCAACAGCTAAAAGCTGGATCTTGCTGAGAAGCCTGCTCCTTTCTCATTTTCTTCTGGGCCTAGAGCTGAACAGAAAAGCCGTGTGAAATGCTGCTTGTTGCAGGCATGAAATCAGCAGTGAAAGTAGGCAGTTTCCATTAAAAAAAACCTGTGTGTTTCCCAAAATGTGAAATATGAGTAAAAAATAACACCGTGTGGAATGAGACACAGTTTCTGAAACACAGACCAATCAGCCTTGTGTGGGCCATGGGTGTCCTTGGCAGTACTGGTGTCACCAATGGTGGTTTAGTGCTTGTGAGCACCCAGGGCTGCCTATCATAGAATCATAGAA